CTATCGTTATTTTGAACCATCAACGACATTCCATAGCCTTGAGGTCACATCAATTCTAATGTACTTTAGTCCCCTTTAGTGATATTATTGACAGTATATACCCAAACCATAGCTATAAACAGGAAAAAAACCTTGGGTATTCTAGTGCTAAAGGCGTTGGAAAGGTAGTTGTCTTTAAATACTTTTCCTTGGTTTAATTTAGAAATCGTCGGTTTTCCTTGATTATCCTAGTGAATAAATATGGAAATAAAAGTTTTTCCTTGTGATATTTTAGACCCAGACATTTATCACTTCTTCAGCTACGCCTCTTGTTTCACCGAATTAACCCGAGAATCTTTTGCTTTACCTCGGCGCTAACAGAGATGCTTGCTGGTTAATGCAACTTAAATCTAAACATGGATCGTTAAATAAACTTAAAATGCAATTATGAAGATCATAAGTCGCTAAAATTTATATCAACTGGCAGACTTTATGATATCTATCATTAGGCCTTTAGTTGACTTCAGGCTTCACAGAGGGGATGAACTTCAAACTCACAAAAAGTGGAGAATGGGAACAGAAGAGTGATTCACAGATGTAAAAGAGGCAAACAGGCACAAAGGTGGTAAAAAGGGTAAGGTGAGTACAGTGAAAGTAGTTGAAAACGACATGGTAGTTTGAATTTGACTCTCGGTTTATAGACTTTATTGTCGTATGAGCATACGTTGCCCAGGGTGTACCACATGGAGGTAAGTCTATGGCGAACCAATAAGTTGCCAACTTTTTTTAATTTTATCGATAAGGGAACCACGTGACATTTACCATAATTACATTCAGTTGTCATATTAATAGCTGATTATTTTGCCATATTATTGATATTTTTAAAGAAGTTCTTTTCTGCTCTCTCTCTTAAATGTCTTAATTTTTGTGTTTTAGAAGTGGGATAGTCTCACCAAGCTGCTCACAGCTGAAATAAAAGCAAAACTTGATGTTGTTTCTTCCGGATATCATGGACATTCCTTTTCGTTTTCCGATTACCTTTCCGCTCTTGGTAGTGCCAAAAAATTGGGTCAAAATGTCTTTTGGGCTGAAGTTCTATCGTCAAGCTTCACAATCGGTAAAAGGTACAGTTATAATGGAAATTCCCCTTATAAATTCTTAGCATTCTCCAAAAATTGCCCAAACAATCTGGTCTCGTTCTGATTTCGGCTATTCAGACGGCTGGTATAGGTAACTACTTAATTACCATATTCAAGTAGTATATAGGACGTGGCAACAATCAGTGGATCTCTCCACGAGGAATGGCCTGTTTCACTCTGCATTTTGATTTGCCACTATTGGATAATGAGGCATCTTGTAAACTTTCCCAAGTTCTCACGTGGACTCAACATCTATCTTCGATTGCCGTTACTCAAACTTGTAATGAACTTTTATGCCAATATGATGTGAGTTTTTACTACTCGCTTAGCTTTTAAAGGGATATAATCGTTTCCGTTTCACGATTAAGCCTATTTTAGAATGGAAATGAACTGGATGTGGAAATTAAAATCAAATGGCCAAATGATATCTATGTGATTGACAAGAAAACTAATACCGCCTCCAAAATTGCCGGAGCTGTGTCTACAGCTAGTCTCTCGGATACAACTAAAGCTAGATGCCTTTTGGGTAGGTTGTAAAGATGTATGTTTTAACGTCTCTAATTTAATCATTTAGGAATTGGCATAAATGTGGCGAATCCATTGCCAACAACATGCCTATTTGAAATAATTCGAAGACGCTCTACAAATAAAAATGTTGAAATGCCTTCGATAGCCACCGTGATTGGGAGGACGATTTTTCATTTGGAGAGGTTGATTGGTCAGCTTGAGCGTGGTGATATGGAGGGTATCAAAGAATTGTACACAAAATTCTGGATACATAGGTAGCCTTTCAGCAATTAAAGGAACCGTGTTTTATACATCACTTTCTTTGCATTTTAGTGGCCAACGGATCAAAGCCATTTGCGAAGGTGAATGCATTGAATGCGTCATTCTTGGTGTCGATGATTTCGGGTATTTGATAGCGAGGCAAGTTGAAAGTGGAGAGCTAGTTACACTTCATACGGATGGTAATTCAATTGATATGGCTTCTAGGACTATAATATCACGAAGCTTTAGTCGTTTTGAGAAAATGCAATAGAATATTTTTTTTATGGAATTGCTTGACTTCGATATCTTCATGAGTCGTCAATGGATTTTAGGAGTCCATGTGGGGGACTGTGGGCGTTAATTAAAAATAGATTTGGAGAGAAGCAAGTCATGGAAAACTACAAGATTCGATATTAGTCCAGCAACGCAGCAATTATTTCGTAACTTTTGATTTAGTTTGGTAATTTGAGAAAACATGAATGTAGTCTAATAGTTGTTTATACACATGAAATGATTTTTACGGACTTCGCGTGGTCAAATAGAAACCAAAAATAGGCAAGATCTATGTTTATGGCACAAAGGTGCATTCGGCATAGCAATAAAGAAAATAGGATACTACGATGTATTCAGTCTACATTCGATAGTCTTCACTAGATACAATTTCAAGCAGAAGTTTAACAAAGAATATTGACTATTTTAAGTGATTGATGAATGAGTAGGGGCATAGGAAGAACATGTATGATAATTAGGCTACTGGTCCATGGTAATACCTATTTTACATGTAAGTAGCTGGATTTTAAAAAGGTTTTTGTAAAAGCCGGTGAATCAAAAATTGTCCCTGAACTTGAACCCCTTCTTTCAAAATTAAAGTATGTCATGAATTATGTAGGCATATTTGTTCATTGTGGTTCTGTTTTTAACTAAAAATAGAACTACACTTAATGCAGTATCCGTCATATAAGCTAAAAATAAACATCCACTATAATACTAACTTATCCTTATTAGTTCAGAAAAGGAGAATAAAACAATACAATAAAATTTTAGAAGATATCTACGGCACGGTAAATGTTCAAAACGACAAGGAATGTAAGCTGCTTGAACGAAGACTTACTTGACTAAAAATATTTCAGCCAATGATGGTAATTAGTCAAAGGAATAAGCCATTAGAGTCTATGTCCATTTATTAACTGAACGAAAACAGCACCATAAACTGTAAAACAAGGGGATCAGATGAAAGTGATTGAATGAAAGCTTGACCTTGGATTGATATAATGCATTCATTCTCAAATTCAGATGTAATTAAGCGCAAAGTATGGTATTAGCAGAATCGAAAAGTTTTAATGAGCTTACTTAACAATGCGATGACTTCCGAAACTAACGGTACGCACTACGTTGGGATGGGGGGGGGGGGGGGAGATTAATGGGAATAATAAAGGATTGTTAGATAAAATACAGATGTTGTATATTTATTTAGCATAAAATTGATGGGTTTGAAATTCAATCGCACCTCCTCAAAGATGTAATACTTATGAAACCGTGGGTATACTTTTGAGGCAATTATAAACAATATCAAAATTGGATGAAATAATTCGTCTCTGAGCTATTTATTTTAATAAATTCTGCAAATAAAATCGTTATTAAATTCATTTTAATATTTAATTTTGTTGTAAAAACTAATCATTCAATAATAAACGATTTAAATACATGCCCGTTTGTTTGAATTTTCGATCTCTGCTCCTATGGTCGAATGAGCCTGGTTCTGGGTCTTAGAGCTCTTAGCACGGTTTTGTCATCGTGGTTTAAACTTTGGATCGCTTAATCTTCGATTAATACTCTGTATTATTATTAATTATTGTTGGAAATGCTGCCAACATCAAGCCAATATGTCTATGTGACCGACACGAACAATTTTCCTTCGACATTGGAAAGTAATGGTCAAGAGTCTGTACATGTTGTTACACCGGTGGAAGTAATTCCCGTTGATCCATCAGCTCCTATTCTTTCTAACAAAAATCCACTGCGTCTAGTTGCAAATAATGGACAGTATATTTCCCTTGATGGTAGTGGAAATCCCAACGTTCAAAGGGTCGTGCAAATTCTTAATGCCAAGAATATTGTTAAGAAAGAGGGAGCTGTTAGTCTCAATTACGATAACAAGAACATAGTTTGTAACGTTTATCACGCAAATAGGAATCAGTTTCTTCAAGCAGCTGTTTCCCAAGCGACCGCACAGTCGTCTGCTCCTAGGCGACGTGGCCGTCGACCTGGTCGCAAAAATAAAACTCGAGATGATGATGACCCTGATTATGTACCGGATTTGCCCGAGGAGCTTCTAACTTCATATCCGGTTCAGCACAGTCCTTCATCTGGTCAAGTGAGTTTTATCGTATTTATTTAATTATGGTGTTGTCCATCTGATAATATATGAGTTTGTCGTTTAGTGGTTATCTTTTACGCCTGTAGTCATTTCGATGTTATTCACAAGCATCTATTGAATGGAGTGTCCAACTGCATTGCTTCATTTTGGTTCGCAAATATATAATAGATCGAAATTTAGATCGGCTCCTACTCAAGTGGTGTTCCTCGATGCCCTTTGAAGTGCAGGAAATTTTTAATTTCATGTATAAAATTGATTCCTTTAAGATTAAGCGTTTTGGGTTTAGCTCATGTTTGATATTCAGTTTTTTTCTTGTTTTGCTTCTGTTTCATTTCAGAATCGCATTGATGTATGGTGAATAAAAATATGTATAACTGGAAATAGGGTGTTTGAGGCACATATGTAAATATGTGAATACTGTTTACTGGAAGCATTTCATGAGGTGTCTTAAACACCCAAAAAATTATTTCCATGTATAGCCCTCTAACGTTACCCCTAACCGTCTATTTCAGATGTCTGTGTACAGTGATCGCAATTTCGATCCAGAATATGATGATACTTCTGACCTAGAAAGCTATAGCAGTTCTATATCGAACGAATTTGTCTGCGAAATATGCTCTCGATCATTCCAAAATAAGGCTGGTTTATCTCGACACAAGATGTTGAAACACAGTGGGAAGAAAATTTCTGTTGGACCAAAAGTTGATCCAGCTAGACGGGCTCAACTCAGATACGACAATCTCAAATCAGCGCTTGAAAAGGCTTCTCCGCAAGATATAATTGAATTAGCTGCTCCCTATGTAGCTCAATATGTGCCCCTTTGGAATTATCTCTTCCTTCGAACGGAGTTTGCCAATAAACCAACAGGTGAAGTCAATATCTCCCAATTGCCTGTCCCCCCACCTGAAATGCCCTTAGTAGTAGCGGAATATCTTGGATTTATTAATAAATTCCGAGACAACTTTCCGAAGATTTCTCAGCGCATCAAGGATGTTAAACGACCTGATCCCAGAAGTGATGATGTTAATGACCAAGAAGTTGAAATCGATGAGAAACTGTTAGAGAGTTTTGGACCTGGCCCCACGTGCGCCAAGAGAAGGAGATACCTTGCTTTTAAAAAGAAACTCGAATCTAGTATGAATGATATGAACCAGACCGTGGATGATGTAGATATTGACGGAGGTGAGACTGGAGTAGTTGAAGTAAGTTCTCTTAATTTCCTTTAATTCAATAAAATGATATTGAGTAGGAGGAATTGTTATTGGAGATGCTCTTATTATTCGATTTTAGCAATTTTAAAAGTGCAGAAAAGGTTAGGTAGTCTTATTTTAAGGCGTATAAACTGCCGTGTGGAGTGAAGTGTAACAGTAACGACTTTTCATCGGTCTTTAAACCTAGTATTGGTAAAATGGGTGGTTCGCAACCCATCCAAGTCAATTTTTCAGCCAAATACTTTCTATCTTTTGGTTGGCCTGGTAGTTCTTAAATTGTGCTTTTAATCTTCCCTGTATCAAAAGTTGATACTAGTATTCATGAACTGAAAATAGATCGGCATAACGAATACAGAGTCATTAGAGCAATGATCCATGGCAGTGCTTGCGAATGGAGTGGTGGAAGGTAACTTGCGAGCAATCAGGTGCATTATTTTTTGCAGGGGCGAGTGAGTGCTTTTGCAAAATGTAGGTTTTTACTTCATAACCTACTGGACTCTTGTACATTTTGACTGGAGGAAGGTGAAATGTAACTTACTAGTTCGCGGTTCTTGAAGGTGAATTTTCGTGAATTTGTCATCTTTTGTTTCTTGGGTAATTGAGATTTGTATAAGGGTTTATTTTTCCTTAATTGCTTTCGTCGTATATCACTTCCTAAGATCGAAGCCTTGCAATTCACTAGATTTGTGCTGTTAAACTCATTTACACTTTCGAGGGCCATTATTCTGTTTAAATGATATAGGTGCCCACTGTCATCTTAAATTACTTTGTTGCCGTTTTTGTCTTCATGGTTGTATTTATATAGACATTGTGGTTGATTACTTTGATCTGAATTTTTCATTTAGGCCATCTAATTTTTCCCTATTTCTCTTCCTTTGTCTTTAGGTTAAAGATTCTCTTCAATCATATGTGCTTGGCGTAATCATGGGTCGTTATAAGTTACGACAGAATCTCTCCTCGGGTTCGCTTCCCGCTCGTTATGCTGCTGCTGGTTATGGATATCCAGAAATTGTAAACTTGGACGAAACGTTTCAGCAGCAATCTCGGGATAAGCAGGAGCAGCTATCTCAACCTACGGAGTCTAATTCTAACGAAAAGGATAAGACACTAAAATCTGCTCCTAAAAAAGCCATGGTAATCACTGGAGTCCAACCGGAAACTGTTGACATGGTTCAAGAGGTAGACAACACTTCATGTCCTGAAATTGAAGAGCCTCAAAACAATGTCCAACAGGCTGACGATCAGTCTAATGTAAGTTTAGATTCGCTTTAAATGTGATGGATGTGGACCAATAGGTATCCCCTAGCTATTTAGACCCACTTGACTCCGCTTCAACAGTGATGGATGGTTTATTAACATTAGTATTTGGAGGGAGTGGGGCAAAAAGAGGTGGGGCGGTCAGAACCTTATTTTTATATTGTTGAGGTCGGTTATAGGTACAGATGTACAGATAATATACTTTAATCTCAAGAATACAAGCAAATGGCTCCTTTTCTTTATAGTTTCTCCTGTAGTTGGGACTTGGAAAAATTCATTAGCACTTCTAAATGTCAATCAATGGGCAGATTTTGATATTTGAGTCATTGTGCACCAACTCTGAGTCGGCTACTGTAAATTTTAGTTGGTTTTGGTGCGAGCTGGAGGTATAAGCGGTGGCTTTAGAAATTACCAATGAATGCCTATAGGTCTATGGTTAATATAACTTAATGTCATGGTAAGAACCTGTTTTGTGTTTGGTGTTAAGGTCTATAAAAAGAAGTGTGTTTTTCAATGACAACCATCTTATAATCTAGGCGAGAAAATAGGAAGAGATAAAGGTAAGAAAGATGGCCCTAAAGCATAAAGAGCTGGATAAAGCCGCCATCTTGCCACAATTATCAAATATCCGAAGACTTTGATGATCATATCCTGTGTTCTAGCCCATGAATCCTGCTTTTTCATGTTGGTTCCGTGCTAGTTCCTAAGGTTGCAAGACTACTACTATTCTCCCAGTGGTAACATGCTTGGTGGCATACAGACGGCTTAGATCTTCTTAGGGGTTAATGGACATGGATTTACATTTCGGGCTTTTGCTTACATTATTAGTTAAACTGATGAGTCGGTTCTGGTTACTGTCAGGCTAATGCCTCCACTCTTGGTGTTATGACTTTTTCCGTGTTTTATTTTGCAGACTAATGTAGCAGAGGGTGAGCATGTATTTGATGGTCCCATTCCCGAGGAGCTAATAGCAAATGGAACCTACATCCCCCTGACCCAAGGTGATGGCGGCTCCACTGAATATGTATATCATTTTCAAAATGGCTATGTGTATAATCGGAGAACCGGGCGAGTGGCGACGGAAGATGAAGTGATTATTTGTCCAAACCCTTCAACTGAAACTGTCTACGTCCAGGCCGTCACGGAGACAACAAGTATACTGACAATGCCCGATGGTACCCAAATTCAAGTCCAACATGGACCTGATGGCGTGACTTCGGAACTCTTTAATATGATCCTTCAACAGTTAAGATCTGAGGACGGTACTCATCAGCAATAGTGTTTTTGTGTATATAGATATATATATATACCTTATGTGTGTGTATGTGTGTGTGAGACTTGCATTCATATCTATTTGTATCATTTTATAGTAGAATCATTTTCATTTTATAATTCGTAAAAACGGTCCATCATTATTACCGAAAATTGAACTTTTTCTCAAGTTGATACCCGCTATTTTCTGTTTTTTTTTGTGGATTTCCTGTGAGTGTAGATAAATATGGACTGTAGGAGTTTTGAGGGAGGTCGATTCCGATTGGTTCATAGTTTTATTAATTCGCCAGTGACAACGGGCGGGCACGCTAAGGTCTCCTTTTAAACCTTCACCTTGGAGTAATCCCACGCTTTGGAGCTCTGCTAACATAGTTTTCTCTACTCTATTGAAAATTAAGTTGGTGTAAGTCATTCAAGACCATTCAACTTTCAAAACAATTGGGAGAGAAAATTGAGTTGAAGCACCAAGGCTAACATTCTTTATTAAGCGCGATCTCGAAGTCAAACACTGTAAACTAAGGAATGATGTAAGAAATCTAAAATCAGGAACGCGGGATGCTCGTTTAGTAGACGTCTTCCCACCCAATTCCAAAAATGTGAAGCAAGGCCTTGTCAATATTTTGACTTTCATCTCGTTCTTCCTCTATTTACCCCCTCTTTTTTATTTATTGGTTTTTACGTATTGCATTTCGCAAATTTCAATTTGTAAGTTATTTTGCAAAGAAGAGGTGATTGAAGTATTGCTCACATGAGGATTTTTCGTGTTTATGCGGCAATCCGATGTGTGTTGATTAGCTTGAGGGCGTACGCTCATTAACTTTGAGAGGTCATTGACACTAATTGCTTATTCTTACAGCCAATCATGCTGTGATCTCATGTTACGCATTATCACTGCATAGGCTTGGCAATTACAGACTAAAGGGATATATCAATCAACAATGAAGGATGCATAGGGTCCAACATAATTGTTAGGCGGCGAATTTATTTACCATCTTTCAAATGTTGAAAAATGATATGAAAGTTTGTTGGCAGTCCTGGTTTCATTCCTGTTTCAGAAACCTGCACTAATTAATCCTTATTCTGAAATAATCACATTAAGTGAAATATGACAGTGGAGCATTGGTCACAGTGTTCGTCTGTCATGGGTTCGATTATTAGTAAGGACGCAGATGAAGTAGGCTAAATGGCCAATCACCTTGGTTCAGCCTGACTATAGAGATCGTGACAGAAGTCTACTCTCACCAGGTGGTCCACTTGATGTCATACTCTACCCGAGAAATTATTTTCCTAAATGCCTTGGGAATTATTGACATATTGAGAGGATTGTTATTTTTTTGATTAAGCAATGAGGTCTCTCACACTTTGGAATGCAACATGAAGTGCAGGCTAGCTGAAGTATAAAAAATTTTATCTTTTGCAAGTCGAACTTTTGAACCATTTAGGTAAAGTGTAAATAGTTAGTGTTCGTAAAAGACTTATATTTAGATGCCCTTTATATATTTTCCAAACCGCCTTCCAAATTTAACTGAGTACCTGCTTATTTTAGGCGGTAAATGGACAAGTTAAATTTAATCAGAAGTTTATATTCTAATTGATTGTTTCGCCTTACCTTTTATTTACGCACTGGCCTCTATGGGTGAAATATAAGCTAATTCAATACTTTCAATCTACGTTGTCGTAAGTTAGGAGAATGTTGTCCAAAGCTCATCTAGAGTAGAGAGTGACATCATTGAACTTCCTCGATGCGACTCCAATTCTGTCATATTTAATTAATGTGTCTGCTGGTTCCTCCTACTCAGTGTACGCCTATAGGAATCGAGTCCCTGATCAATGTCGTGACAGTCGAACCGGGTGACAAATGCGCCTTCTGAAATGCACAGTTCATTCGTTTAAGCATATGTCTTGAAATGCGAATGTAATTAGACCTCTAATAGTGTTCCTTCACCGGGTTTTCACTGGAGTAGTCTTTTCAAATATCTTATTAAACTATTTTGAGTTTCAATGCATTCAAGAGAGCCTTAATTACTTATCTCTTGCTTACGTCCTCCACCGAGTGCTGACATGTAGTTATTCTTGTGTCTTACTTTGATTATGAATTTTAATATTTTATTGTTATCAAAACCTACCTCAGGTTGGACAAAATATCTATGTTATTTAGCTAGGGTGATACGTTAAACAGTCTTATGTATAAGGTGTGAACAAGGTATAACTTCGTTATGGTGCAACTTATGGGCACAGCAAAGCAGCAAATGGTACAAGGTTGGGCGGAAATGACCATCTTGTTCCAATGGCTGGGCGGCACGCGATCATAATTGAGAATACGTTCTGTGTGCTTATAGATCTCGTGACCATTTTAGAGGCCAATCAGGATATAGCAAATATGTTTATAAAGTGTATTAGTGCGAGAGCTGAGGCTCGGATACTACAAAGAATATGCGTGCTAATGGACTGATTCTAATCATATTCAGTAGGAATTAGGTATATCTTGTTGCTTGGCGTACATTGGTGCCCCTCGTGCATTTCAGGTAGTTCCGGGTGTTCAAGATCGATTCACAACAAAGCATGCCTAATGATTTGGGTGGGCAACCTCACTGGTTAATTCTGGTCAATAAGAGGGGCAGTAGAGTGAGTTTTTCTGGGCTCTGTCAGCTCTGTAAACGCATAATTAGTTACGTCTCTGAACTTGTCTTTATTTCATTTTCAGTTGCATTGTTTTAACCACAACTACCCTTTCACTTTCTACCTTCTAGTATCTTATTAATCTTGCTAGCCTCATATCTCCCGATTTCCACGGTACCAATTCTCCCTATGTGTTCAATGGATTATTTAAATTACATCCCAAGTGCATCAACGGAGGCATTAGCAAAACTTGTAGGGGTAAAGGGAGGGTAGGGACACTTGGTACTGATCACATTCTGACTTTCCGTTGGTAAGGTACATTACTAGAAGTCCATCGATCTCACACAGTCTTGTACGTTGACTAATGGTGCATTTCATCTTAAGACTACCTAGGCATACTCAAATGATTGACCCAATTTTATATTTAAAGGGTGGGGTGTACGATAGACTTACCTCCACGTGGTGCATCCTGGGCAACGTATACTCATATGGCAAATAAGTCTATTAACCGCTAGTTGACTTCTCACTTCAAACTACCATCACCCCACTGTATGCCATATTCGATTATTTCCACATTCTCACCTCACCTTTTTCTACCTTTGTGTCTGTCTCTTATACATCTTTGAAAC